GTCTCTCTCCAAGCTGCTGCAGAGCTTGTAATTGATTCTGAACTCTTTGATGTAATAAACTTTTATGATCAAGAAAAGTGTCAAGCGGATTTCTTCTCAACACATCATCGCAGCATTATTGTTCGGACACCACAATACAAAGATCATGCTATCATAATCCTTCAGGGGTCAGGAAGAACTTTGTGCACACTGACACTTGCTTTCCTTGGAGGAGCAATTACCTTGCGCATTGATCCACTATCAGTGACTTGAGGAACTGTGAACTTTATTTTAACAAACCCGGGTCTATTTTATTTTGAGTGCACTCACAATCTTTTATTATTTTGATACTTTGTAATTTTTCTACTTTTATATATATTATATATTTGAGATCCCACTTTTCTACTTTACTATTTTTTACTATTATCTTATTTTCTACATGCAGTTAAACTTATTCCTGTGCCTTGTGTTGTTCTTTCACCGTTGTAACTCAACTTTTTGGCTTCAGCGAGCAAACCTATAATCTTCTGATCTGGCCTAATTCCAAACATCTAGATACCTTGAATATTTATTACTAGCAGGCAAATTTGGTAGTTATCCCCTTATAGACGTGGCCAGCCATTGAGTAGCAGGTTACATACAGTTTCATATGACTTTTCTTATATTAAATGGATTTAATGTCCCTAAATTCTGACATTTTTCAGTTTCTAATATTTTACTTAATGATCGCCGTCCGCGCTGGCAGACCGGTCAGCTGCAGCGAAACGCTGTTTGGGTGTCTGTCAGTCTGGGCAAATCTAATACTTTCAATATTGAGGTCGGATACAAGCGGCCCCTCCCAACTTGGACTGAACCTCCTATTTGCTGAATTCAAAGGAGTTTACTTTCCGTCTGGGGCGAATTCAATCGAAAACCTTTTGCACTGGTTTGCTACGTTTTGTAGGGGCTGAACTCAGCCAGGTTTGTGTGATTAGCGCAACTGAGATGGTATATATGGTGAAAAGAAAAAATGAGAAAAAAAGAAGAGGGTTGCTGAAAAAATTAGAATTAAGAATAAAACGAGGTCGGCACAACAGGCAGCTGAATGCACCAAATTAACCGACTGCTTCCTTGGTGGAAAAGTCACTGTGGCGAGACCCAGCAGCAGAAGGAAGGAACAAGTAATGCCTTTATTATATACAGAAATTATTTATGTATTCAAATAGACATATTATTTATTTATATACATTATAAAGAACAGTTTATCAGACAAAGACAACATCCTTCTATAAGGAGGTAGGAGTCCAGCACAGGGGAAGCTGAGCCAGGGAGAGTTGCATGTTGCAACATGTCTGCAAGGATAAAGATAGAACCACACTGACAGTGCTGTACATACTTTAGAAAACAAATTGCAACAAACACATAACCCACCAAATGATCAGGAACATTAACTCGATCTCTCAGAAATGTTAGCTGCTCACATACAGCATGTGGTGCGGTCCACACATGACTTACGTGAATGACTAATCATTCATGCAGCACAGCTGGACGCACCACCGCTCACTGAACAGATCTCTGCCTCACTGCCACAAACAACTGTCTCCACCTGCTGGCATGTAAAGCCGTCTGCTCCCAGCGCTGTTCCACAGACTTCTATTCCTGTCATCATCACGCATAGACCAGTAAACCGAAATGTGCACATCCCACACAGAAATATTAGTAATCTCTTAAGGATTAGAACAACTGCACCAACTCCAGCACCCAGAACAAACTCATTTAAAATGGCTCTCTTCAATGTGAGATCACTTTCAAGTAAGACTTTTATCTTAAATGATTTTATCTTGTCTGCAAATCTAGATTTTATGTTTTTAACTGAATCCTGGTTGCAAATGAATGACTATAGCCAGCTAGCTGAACTGTGTCCGCCTCAATATGATTGCTTTAGTCAACCGAGGGTCAGTGGTCGTGGTGGTGGGCTAGTGAGCGTGTATAGGAAAAATTTTAAATGTCATCAAGTACGCTGTGATGAATTTACTCCTTTGAAGTTCTCACTCTTAAAGTTGGAGGGCTGCAACCTATCATTTGTTATAATTTATCGCCCCCCCAAAACCGGCTGGAGGATTTTTATCAGAACTTCCTGAATTTTTATCTACTCTGGTTTTAAATTATGACAGAATTGTTCTTTGTGGCGATTTTAATATTCATGTTGATGACCCCACCAATGTTAATGCAACTGACTTTTTAAATATGGCCACTTCTTTTAACTTCAAACAACATGTCAAAGGGCAAACACATAACCGTGGTCATACACTGGACTTGGTTTTTACCCTGGGTGTCAGCATTTCCTCTGTGGAATTAGTGGACATGACCATATCTGACCACAGATGTATTGTTTTTAGCTGCGATTCACCTCGCCTGTTACTCATGCTGCCTCACCAAGCTCCGTGTGTTCTCGCTTCTTTAATGAACAAAGTGTTTCAAAGTTTTGCGCATTCTTTCAGAGCCAAAGCCAACACCTGTCTGATTCCAACACCAACAATCTGGTCGATCACTTCAATCATATCTGCTTGTCGTCACTAAATATTACTGCTCCTCTAAAGGTTAGGCCTACGTCTAAAGCTAGTAAGCAACCCTGGATAAATGACAGCATTCACAGCCTCAAAAGGGAATGCAGGAAAGCAGAGCGCAGATGGAAAAATCCAATCTCCAAGTCCATTACCTCAGTCTGAAGGATTTATTAATTAACTACAATAAAATGGTTAAGGATGCGAGAACACACTATTTTTCTGAACTCATTACTACACATAAACACAATCCCAGGTTTCTGTTTAAGACTGTGGATCAGCTGGTAAACCCAACTCCTCCTTGTGCCTCAGCTGAAAGTAATGATGACTGTGAATTGTTTTTATCTTATTTTACCAATAAGGTGGTGTCAATCAGAGCCTCTATTACCCCCGTGGCCTCTTACTCAGAGGTTCCTCACCAGCAACAAGAGAGTTTTAACCAGTTTTATCCCATTGACTTGTCTGAGCTTTTAAAAACAGTATCACAAATGAGAGTGTCCTCCAGCCCACTTGATGTAATACCTACAATGCATGTGCTCAGTCCTGGTACTCCTGGACCTTAGCGCTGCTTGTGTTGACACCATTGATCACAACATCATGTTAGACAGACTGAGGCACTGGGTGGGGATCTCTGGTTCTGCCCTAGAATGGTTTTCATCCTGTCAAATAGGAAGTTTTGCGTGTCTGTAAACAACTATGTCTCCTCATTCTGTCCAGTTAAATATGGTGTGCCTCAGGGGTCGGTCTTAGGACCCATTTTGTTTTCCTTGTATCTGCTTCCCCTTGGACATATTATCCATAAACATGGCATTTCTTTTCATATTTATGCTGATGACACACAAATATACTTGCCTGTCAGATCCACAGACCCTGGAATGCTGAGTTCACTTAACAACTGCCTTTGTGAAGTTAAAAAATGGATGTCAAATAATTTCCTCCAGCTGAACTCAGACAAAACAGAAATCCTGGTCATCGGGTCCCAGCAGATGGCAAATCAAATACTGCCATCTGCTGGTTTGCTAGTAAATCACATTAAGCCTGTGGCAAAGAACCTTGGTGTTTGGTTTGATAGTAATTTAAAATTCGAGCAGCACACCACAAAGCTTGTTCAATTTTTATCAACTTAGAAATATAGCAAAAATTCGATCTATGTTAATTCATCTCATCACGCCTGGATTATTGCAACAGCCTTTTCACCTGTTTAACCCAAAAATCTATTGATCGACTCCAGACTGTCCAGAACTCAGCTGCCAGACTTTTAACCAGAACAAAGAAATATGACCACATTACTCCTATTTTAGCTTCATTACACTGGCTTCCAGTATGTTTTAGAATTGACTTTAAAATTCTATTGATCACTTTTAAAGCTCTTCATGGCCTCTCGCCTTGTTATATTTCTGACCTTTTAGTCCCATACGCACCAGCACGTACCTTGAGAGGAAATCAGGTCGGCTGAGTCAGTGAACTCCCTTCCAGTGAAGTCCCTTCTTAAAACATACTTTTATAGGAGAGCCTTTCCCGATCTTATTTGACTTTATTTTATCCCTTTTATTTTATTTTACTAATTTTATATTAATTTTCATGCTCTTATCTTGTTTTTTGTATTATTCTTTACAGTTGTTAAAGCACTTTGTAACTTGTTTTTGAAAAGTACTCAACATTAGATATAATAATAATAATCCTTATTTGTAAAGTGTCTGTTCTCCTATAGGCTCTAATTATTATTCCTCTGTATTTACACAGAAACAACAAGACGTGGGGTGGATTATAAAGGATTATTATATTGTTTGCATTAAACTGATTTATATCTTAAGGACTTCTAAATTTAATTTCGTGGATGTTCTTTTTGTCCACTTGATGCTGGTGTTGACCACAGGACAGGAACTCTGCTTTTGGCCATACTAGGAAAATATGTATGTGGTTAAATGCAAATTCAGTGCAGTCCACTAACATGCATCAAGCACAGCTCACACCAACCTACAAACATTCAGCTCAGTCATGGTTTGCTTTTTGCTAAACACCATCATTAGCTAGAGCCTGTGGCATTTTCAAACTGCTGAAATTAGCCTAGCAGCTAGCAGACTGTCCCTGTTCTCATAGCTTAATACATATTTATATAAATATAATTATTTCTTACTCACCGCTCTTTTGAATTGCTGCCTCTCCCGACACAACACGGTTGAATTTCAGTCTGCATTCACATTTTGTTGCAACAGCAGCTGATATTTCCTTCACGATAGCAACAAGCTGGCACATTCAGGCAGTTCGGAGGCTGTTTTACTAAAAAAGCTGCATTGCTTTCCTCCAAAATGGACATATTTGAGAAAGGTTACCTGAACTCTTTGTGGAAGCATACCTTCTGATGACACCTAAGCTAAATAAGATGCATGTTTTGAAATCATGTTAATCAATAAGCTTTCTTTATATTGTGAATAATGTTTGCTGATAATGACTAAATGAAATTGGTTTAATCAGTAAAAAAAGTATAATTACGCTGATTTTAATGAAGTGTAACCAATATAGCTTATGTACATCAGTGTGCGTGAGGCTCCAGCTGCTGACGGGCATCACTCGTGGTCCAGTCCATCGTAGGATGAGTGGAAGTTCTGGGGCAAAACCTTCAGTTCTTGGGGCTGTTTGACCTTCAGCTCTTTAACTGGCTGGCTGTGCACAGTGGGGCTGCTGTGGGGACAGATAGACTTCCCAGTCATCTCAGCGGTGCCATCCACGTTATATCTAGTGGATAGTTGGATGGAAGAATTTAAAAGGGAAGAGAGGGACAGAGTTTTATTAGATTACAGGTAAAATGTTTCAACACCACACTGTAGAGATATTCTGTATGTCAAAAGTCCTACATTCAAATTTTAAGATGAAGTAAAGCTAATTTTAACACTTTATATTTTGCTGTGTGGCTTTGTGAAAATACATCATACTCTAGTTTTTGAATATGTTTAATTTATAATCTGCAGAGTAACTAAAGCCGTCAAAATAAATGTAGTGGAGTAGGCCAGCAAAAAGAGTAATTGGGCGCATGTACTTGGGTACTTTTCACACCTGATTTCTATTGATGTATAAGGCAATATTTGTACAATATGTCTGATAAAATACCTGATTGGAGGTCATGCAACGTTGGATCCCAGCTTTTTCCCCAGTTCCCCATCTGGCTGAAGTCCTTTAAGTTACGAACCTCACGGTATGGCCTGGAATTGGAGTGAGCGCCACTGAGGTCTTCTCACCTGCATCTTCTTTGTCCTCCGATGTTTCCAGGCTTGAATGAACAGCAGGCATCGTGCTGGTCTTTCTTTAAGTGAAAGTGAGATATATTTAAGTCACTGAAAATGTTTGAGCAAACTTACATTGACAGACTGTTTGCAAGAGGGCTTATACTCTGTGCAGGTGACTGATGGACTTGAATACAAGCTCCAGGTACACCTTTCGATGAAGAGGACCTACAGCAGTGCGACTGAACTTTCCAAAGGTCCAGAAGGAAGATCTTATGGATGGAAAGAACTGTGGCTTCACAGCAAGAAGGTCTCATGTTCAAACCCGCCATCCCAGACCTCTGTGTGGAGAATGCATGTTCTCCCTGTGTCTGTGTTGGCGCTCCAGTTTTCCACACCAAAGACATCTTAAAATTAGGTTTGAGGCAGTGAGTGTTAAATGAGGAGAATGAATTTCACACGTGTATGTGACAATAAAGTACCTTTTCCTTCTGTTCCTCAGTCTTCTGACTTTCTCCTCTTCAAAAACCACCACTGCTTTATGCCCAATGTTGACAGGAACAAGCGTTGGTACACAGATTCTTCTCCAGTCTACTACAAGGTGACAAATAATGGATGCTGACCTCCTGGATCCCTCTGCTCCCCTTCACCACAGACTTCACAACCATTTCTTCAGTCATAATTCCCCCAGAAATACTTAGCAATCTTGTTCTTATGATGTGTCTTCTGCAGTAGAGTTTAGTGAACCATTGGCAGGCTGCAGACTGGCATGGTGTCCACATTTATCTTGCGTCCTTCAATCCAGGCCCTCCATTCTCCTGCTTTTCTGGACGTTCACGTTCCAGGTCTCTGGATTTCCCGTCATGACCTTCCTGGCCGAGCCTCATCGGTTGCGAATAAAAGAAAACAAATTCTGTAATTGTTGTCCTCACAGTGTGTCTTAGTGTGGTGTTGTGTCTGTGCAAAAAGTTTGTGCTAAACAGCAGCAAGCAAACTAGAAAACATGCAGCATTCACTGCATTAAATACATCTTACACACACTTCTACGTGTGCATCAGTATGTTGAAAGGTTTTACTACTTCTCACACTGTGATCTGAGCTACATTTGTTTGTGTGAAAAGGTTTTATACAATATGTTGTCAGTTGTCTGTATGGTTGTCATTGGTATGAAACCTCCAGAGGGGCCACGTGTGCACATCCAGTCAGAAGTACTCAAGTGAAAGACCAAAAAAAAAAAATCACTGCAGGACACAAAGGACAAAGCTCTGCACACCGACTCAACAACTCCTGATAAAACTATTGAAGGCAATGTTTTGATCTGAGATCAGATCTAACCATTGCTTTCACATAGAGTTATTATTTGGAGTCCAACGGTGTGCAGACATTTTTCCTGATTTATTTTAATGCCCATCTTCAGTTACCTTTTTTGAGAAAAGATTTTATCATAATTGTTTTGGACGTTCTACCTGAGATCTGTTAAGTGACCACTGTTTGGCAGGTTCTTGTCATGTACTGACCATAAAGTTTAAAACCAAAATAAACTGTTTTTTCAGTTTTCAATCAGAAGCAAAGGTCGAGTTTTAAACTTGACAGAAATAATTTGACCTTTTTCATGATAACTACTGATGCTGAATGATAGACTTTTTTAAATATAACATTTTTGGCCCAAGCTGATTCTTTCAGAAATACGGAAGAAATAAAACTGAACCTAAAAGTCTTAAACATTGTTTTTGATTGAGGAAACCAAATATAGATCTTTGAAGCACAGTGAACTGTCCTCATTTTACATTGAACCACAAAGCTTTCAGACCCTATACTTGCTACATCAGCATTGAGCTGTAAAGAACAAGTTTACGTTAGCCAATCTACAAAGTGACGGACGAGAATGACTCTGAACTAGTACAAACTTGATAAAGTTGTCAAACAATAACCTTAAAGCTATACTTTACCTTAGCAACGGTATCTTCCACGGCAAAAGCTTTCTGCTTCTGCTATTCTTTTATTGGCGGTTGGCAAGCCAGCTTATGTTTTACAGGCCCGGCACAAGGCATGTAGAAAAATAATAAACCTGTAAAACAGGAGAAGTGATGAAGCAGAGGAAACTTGCTAACATTGGTCTAGATGGTCTTGCCAGAGTTCATTTAATAATTACAGTAATTTTACATGAAGCATCTTTTTGCAAATCACTCAGAAATATTCAGCTACTGCCCCCTGCGACCAGGGAGTTTGGGCGGGCGGCGTGAGACGACCTCTCCAGAGGCCGGGGAGCAGGGCTAGAGGCCGGCAGCGAGACAGCAGCAGGGGGAGTCAGGGACAAGGCTGCTGGGCTGAGGGCCTTGGTGCGAGGAGCAGGGGTCGGTCGATCCGCCAACAGAGCGCGAGGAGCGGGAGTCGGCTGGGGGCCTGCGGCGCTAGCGGGCCGAGGATCAGGACCAGACTGGGGGCTAGCAGGCCGGGGGCCAAGGGAGAGTGGTGTGTGTTGGCGGGAGCCGTGGTGGCCATCGGAGGAGACATGGCCATCACCAGAACCCAGAGAAGATGGCCAGGTGTGTTCCCTCGAACTGACAGGGGTCAAGCGTGGGGTCGGGCGGGCCGGGGAACAACAGGCAGGCTGGGATCCAGAAGGCAGGGTGCTAGTGGCGCTCGCAGACATGGGGACAGGGAGACGCTGCCCAGCCTGCAACTAGCGGATCGGGCAGAAGTCCACTGGGGGCTGGTGGGGAGGTGGAAAAATCTGTCCAGCAACTCTGGGATGGCGTCTCTCAGCCACGACCTCTGAGAAACCTTTACCTGGCCAAAGGTTTAAAAGCGCCTGCTTGTAGCCCGCGTGACTCGAGCCCCTCCACTTTTCCTCCAACAGCTCCTTGCACAGCTGACTAGCTGCCTCCTGAAGGGCGGTTGCTGTAGTGGCTTGATCGTTCGGTTACGGGTGGTGTTGGGACAGAGACCCAAATGCGGAAAGGAGTTTTATTGAAGGAAAAAGGGGTAGAGGGACCGGAGGGGAGGGAGAGCTGGAAACAGGCACGGGGAACCGAGGTGACTGGGACCAGAGAGCCGGGGGACACTGGGGGCCGAGGAAGGGAGGAAGCAAGGGGGAACTGTGAGGACGTTTTCCGTTTTAAAACCAAAGCAGAAAGCAAAGCAGCTGTGTTTTGTTCTATATAGGATGGTGTTGCATCCCTACTGGCTGCTGTACACGTGCCGCTGTCGTTTGCAACAGCTGTCTGCATCGGCTTCATCCAAAAGGAAACGATCACCGACCTTCCACAGTGCACCAGGTCTCTTCTCCCTCTCCGGTAAACCTACTATGGGTTGGGTTGCCGGCGGAACCGGCGCACTGGACGGTCAGTGGTCGTTCCCTCTGGCTGCATGAAGTCCGATGCTCCTGATTTTACGCATAGCCTAATCCATGTGTTCTCACAGCTGGCGGCTCTCCGCAGCGCCGCGCAACTTTCTAAATTCTTCCATCTCACAAAATAATAAAGGTCAGGTCGAAACAGTGTATAGAGGCAAACATTTTAATCTGTGTATGATTCGTTAATATACAGTTCGCCAAATTAACTAATAACCAGGGCTCGAGACTAACGGTGACCTGCTGTCCTGGGGACGATAGGAAATATGTTTGCGACGAAGAGAAATATTCTGTAGGACGCCTCTAGGACGAAAGGGATTGTGGAGGCTTATGTGTTTATTTATTAAAATCACTTAGCAAATGACAAACTGAACCGACCGAGCGCTGACGACAACAGAGGTCGTCTTCTCACGCTGTTACTACAGTCACGCCGGACTCGCACAGGAGGCTGGCTGCTCACCTGCCGGTCCATTTTTCTCTCAGGCTTGCTGACCTCTCAGTCGCGCTGTGCAGGTTAGTGTTAAGCGCCACACATCAATCTTCTCACGACAAAAAAATCTATATTCTGATAACGTCGACTAGCGGCGATAATCAACTCCACTCCCAGCTGACGCAACTCGGCATTCGGCGTGATCTTAAAGTAACCGGCGTGCGCTGAGACGCAGCCAGGAGACTCGCTGGTAGAGTCTAGTAGGCTCAGTTTGGGAGCTGCAGAAGTTACCATGAGGATTTTTGCCGAGTTGGTTTTGTTTTTTAGGCTACCTGAAGCGCACTTGTCTCATTCAGAAGGCTACAGTCTGAAGGGAAGCACAGCAGAGGACCTATTGGTCAGGTAGACTTAAATATTATGAATACTTATTAAACAATGATGTTAATCTCAAAATGCAGTTTTCTTCTGGACATATAGGAGAACACAGATATGAATGTGAAACCTGCTGAAACAAAGGAGTTTATAACTGAACTGAAATTAAATTATTTATCATTGAGGTAAAAAGGCGCCCCAACAGATAACTTTTCAGTTATGTTTATAAATCTTTTTGTTTGAATCAAGCAAAATAAATTATATTATATTATTATATATATTATATATAAATTTATTTGATCAATTTAGAATCATTTATTATGTCACTAACAACTATAGAGGATAATAAAGTAAAGAAACAACATTTTCGGTTCCGGGACGGACGTGGATAAACTTAGTCTGGAGCCCTGACTAATAACAATTCATAATTCATAGTCAGTACCATTAGATGTACTGACAACTACTGAATCACTGAATTAATTTGATACTGAAGAAATATTAAAAACCAGAGGATTCTCGGGCAACTTCTGAGGCGTTTCTGTCCCAGTTTCTAGTGAGTTACAAACTGAATGTGTTGATGTTCAATCTCATCTTAATTATCCTACATTTAATCAGGCACCGCCACTGCCTGAGTGCATCTGCTGCAGGTTTATTAAGTGTCACACAAGAAGCTCCACTAATCGGACACATTAATTATCAAAATAAATATTTTTCCGTTTTGGTTTTAAAACAACAAAAAACGATGTCTTTCTGTTTATCCGATTAAATTTTGAAACAAAATAATCAAAGAACAAACCATAAATGAATTCATCTGATATAAGGTTTGAAGCTTTTCCAAAAACAATAAATTAAGAAAGATTTTATAGACGCTATGAAATTAGTTTCACATTCATTGTCTATTAACAAGCGGCTCCAGATTTTACAGCTGATAACATCACAGTTTGAGTCTTCTCTGTTTTGTGGCTCAAGCTCATAACAAAACAACGATAACTGCTCAAGAAAGTGAGGGAGGATCTGATGTGGGAGAGATAGCGGCAGCACGGGTGTGTCTGTCTGTGAACTCCGTTTATTTATTCTCATAGCTAGGCTGTTCAGGCTGTTCAGAGTCTTGAAGTCGTCGTCGCGTTCGCACTACGTGACTGATCGGTGACGGGAGGTCACACGAGCGGACGACGAGTCTGTCACTCAGCGCTGGTCTCCAAACCACGTTTTGTCAACAAAACACACGTGAAATGTGAAACGGGAAATGACGCAAACCTACAAAACAGCTGTTGTTTGTTATTATAAAGACAAAGAATCTGGGTGAAAGGATGGATCAGCACACGCAGGTAGCAGGAAACGTCTGAGCTACAGAGAGCTGGAGGGGAGTGAAAAGTGGTGTATGGTGAAAAAGCAGCCGCCTGCTCTCATTGGCTGGATGTGGATGTCGAGTCGGCCGACTCCTCCAGATTTTTGGCGTGCTGGGTATCTGGCTGGCGTTGGCGATGTGTCAGAAATGTGTCCGGGAGCCGTTTTTATGCGTCGAGTAGTTCGCACATAACGACCGCCGATCGATCGCTGATTTACCCCTGATCACAGCCTGACGGTCGCCGAGCGGCAAATCAGGCTTAAAATCATGTAGTGTGAACTGGGCTGAAGTGATTATAACAAAAACTTTGTTATGCCAAGGCTAGCAGGTCTAAGTGCAGGAAGAGCGAGGCAGAGTGAAAACAGGTGCACGCCGAACCGGGTTGGTGGCTGCTGTACAGAGCAGGGGGGACCGTAGCTGAGAGTCCGAGCAGGTCCAGAGCAGAATCCGGGAAACATTTTAAAATGTAAGAAACGCCATAACTTTCACACTTGTGCTGTCATCACTCAGTTTAAAGTGTCACAGCTGGCAGCTTCATTTAGTTTTCCCTTTGATGTGGACTGGAGCGTCACGTTCACTGCTGTCAGCTGAGGTCAGGGGGTAGCGTGTGAGGCCGGCCAGCCGCCCGCTCACAGAGTTGTAGTTTTCAATTTACACACAATGGTAACTTTGCCTTCTACCCTCACAGCATCGCCAGAGCAGAGCCATTAGGTCGCCGCTTAATCAGAAAGCTTTATTGTCATTGAACGTAGTTGAACCAGATTTGCTCCGCTGCTAATGTTACGCCCTGATATCAGCAGTATTTCATGTCTTAATGCACGCTGGCTAACCTTTCAGCAGCTTCTTCAGATCAGGCTGTTAGCGGGTAACATTAGCTAATTCACTGTACTGCTGTATTTGGCCGTGTATAAACCCTGTGATTAACCAGGCAACCGTCTGTGTGAGCTGAATGCCAAAGATGATCCTGACTTTCTGGCCTAAAAGCTAAAGTTAATGTGATGCTAACTGCAACAGCATATTTGAGCACTAGGCTACTCACACCTTGCTGCTTTGTCCCCATTTGAAGACTGAAGATGTGTATTAGCCCACTGATTACATAACAGCAATAAACCAGCTGGATTTCCATACAGTCCTCACCTTGTGTTCATTGAGACCCGTGTCCTCTGTGGGTTTCAGCTCCTCTGCAATCAGCAGTCTCGCCTGCGAACTCCTTTGCCGCCTCCCTCTTAGCTTCCAGGGCATCAGCCTATCCTGTTCTCAGCCATCTGGTGCACCAGCGAAGGAGAGTTTAACTTCACCCGGGCTATTCAGACTGTAGAGCAGGTTCAGAGGCTGGCTGTGGGAGAGCTGTCTGGTCTGTTGGTTCTGCCCTCACCACCTGATCCTTGGCCTCTTGATCCTTGTCATGGGTGAGAAAGATGTGGTGAAGCACAGCTCATAACGTATGATATTGTATGTTAGACATCTCTTTAGCTTTCATTGACTCCCTGATCTGCAAACTGAGAGTAAACTGGAGCAGCCTGCAGCTCCGTCCTGTAGCCTGCAGACAGGTAGGCTCCATCCACATTATTTTTCAGGTTTCAGTCTGAAAAAGTGGTTGTTAGGAAAAGAAAGGACGGAGGTGACCGGAGGAGCTGAGGTCAGTAAAGCTAATTAGTGATAATAACTAGTCCTTATAAGCTGATGAGGAGACGTTTCTGTTTGGATTTTAACGTGCAAATAAAATGCACCTCAGAAGGGAGGAGGTTTCTCATGCTGCCTATTTTTATATTAATGTCTATAGATAAATGTCAGAAGCTGTGAAATGAAGACACAAACATGAACAGTCGTATCTAGAATGATTCTGAGGTCATATTAACAGGGTTTTAGGGGGTGATGCCCAAAACATGCTGTGCCATCAATGTCTAATCAGTGTGGAGCGACAGAACCAACCAAATGACTTTCTCCAAATCTACTGGCTGTAGTTCCTCCAGCAGGCTGATCTTTGGCTGTTGGTTATTTATTATCTGCTCCAGCTTTTCCAACTATTTGTTCAGAGATATGGTGAAAATAACGGCCCAATATGATGTGAAATTACAGTTTTGTCATTGAAAAACGTGGGGGAGGTCCCCAAACTCCCTGACCGTGACTACTACAAACACCACCAAAACATTTATCTAAAGCTCATTAAATTAAGCTTAAGTTTTAAGCTATTCTAATGTGCATCAGCAGCATGCTCATGGACACAAGAGTAATGCTGCTGAGACAGGCTGTTCTGGGTTTTACATTCAGACATACTACGAACTACGCGCATACAAAATAAATCACTTCATCTCCGCTGCTACAACGCCAAACTCTGTTTATGGTGACACAACAGCACTGGCCATCAGGTATGAGTTTTTAAAATGACAGCAGGAAAACAACTTAAAATACATATTCAATAACAGGCTGCCATTTTCTGGAGTAGTTGCATGTGTGATATCACCAATACATCAAACATATCATGTCTAATATGTTTAGTTTCATAAAAATATAAGATACCAACTTTGAGTTTCTGGTAAACATCTTGTTGCAAATTTGCATATACATAAATCAGTTCACTCTCCATGAGGGTAAAGGCTTATTTATTATAACCTCACGTTACTTGATTGGTAAAGTTTACCACAAAAACATGTCTATGGACATATGAACACAGAAATGCAACATATACCTGTCCAAGTGATTTACTCTTCCAGAAAATGGTAACTTACTACTGTTCAGATTTAATGAATGGAGCTGGAGCAGCGGAGGTGAAGCAAAATCTCTGTCTGAATATAAACCCCCAAAACAACCTTTCTCAGCAGCATTGCTGTGCGTCCATGAGCATGTGATGCACTTTAGAATAGCTTACAATTTCAGTGTTTTCCCACAGTTTAATGTGAGCTTTAGATTAATGTTTTGGTCGTGGTCGGGGTGAAATTTTACATTTTCCAATGACAAATATGTTTTGGGCATCACCCCCTAAAACCCTGTTAATGTGATCAGAATCATTCTAGATACGACTGTTCATGTTTGTGTCTTCATTTTACAGCTTCTGACATTTATCTGTAGACATTAATATAAAAACAGGCAGCGTGAGAAACCTCCTCCCTTCTGAGGTGCATTTTATTTGCACGTTAGTCTCAGTTTGTCCCTGATGTTCTCAACATTGGACAAGTAGGCAGTAATAAAAGAAAGCTTCCAGTTTCTTTCTATAAATTGAGCTAATGTTGAGTTACATAGAGCCATAAAACACTGTAGAAGCTGCTCAGCTGGCAGTCTGAAGGGAGGGGAGATGTTTTCTAGAGCAGACAGGCTTCACTTTTCCAGCAGGTGGGAAACAACAAACAGACTTTTCTTAGTGTTGAAGCTGACACAGCCCTAATTTACTGACAGAATATTTTCAGCGTCACTTCCTGCCGCTCGGACAATCAAACACTCTCTACGCACCTCCTGATTCAGAGTTACGCTGCTGTTATAACAGCACCTGTCACAGAGATGAGCTGTGAAGATCGAGCAGAGGAGCCGAGAGTTGAGTGTTACTGTGCTCACAGTGCACAAGTCAAAACATTAGCAGCCTTATAGTTTCATGACCGTGGGAAATGTTAGTCGTGATGCATATTGGGAAACACTGCTTGAGCACCTATAGTCTGTCTAACATGTGAAGCTCACTGACTTATTTTCAGAGAAGTTGTCGAAATGGTTCACTCTGTCCAGACCTCAGCGGAGTCTCCTGTCTGGGGCCCAAATCGTTATTTTCACTCGTGATGAGTCTGGTTCTCTGTTCAGAAGGAAGAACTGACTTAAGTCATCTGAGATAACCTTAGCTAAAACTGAGATATGTGTCTGTTACTAGGTAACGTTAGTACGTGGCGTGACACCGGTAACGTTAACAGTAACGTTAAGTAACGTTAACAGTAACGTTAACAGTAACGTTAGGAGCAGCGGAGCGTTTCACGTTTCTTTAATTAATATATTAATATCAAGCTATCTGGCTAAACGTGCTACAGCTAACGTTAGCATTCTTAACGGTCACGTTAAATATGTCTTTGTCACGCGAGCTGACGTTAATGGTAAATTAAAAAGGACAAAATAAAACGTAACGTTTTCCAAGCTGCCGCCCTTAAATGTTACCTTAACTTATGAGAACTTGATATCTTGGGAGGAAAGTTCATGTGAAGAAAAACCAAATCATTACTTTACCTTCAGTGAACGCTGAACGTCGACATCCTGCGGGACGTTACCCGGACTGTCTGCTTCCAAACGAGCTTGACGTCATGACGTATCTCGACGCAGTAAAACATTGTCATTGGTCGAAGTCGCCTCTGCGCAGTATGAATCATCCAATGAGGGTACAGCATTCAAATATTTGAATATTCGCGCACTTTCCTGATTTCTGAAGCACAGAGACTAAAGAGACTATTTTAAATTTCTGTATTTTCAATCATTTTAAAGTTTTACATCCCTTCACCCCCTGATTATCAAAGATGTAGTTGATGCTACAGAAACACTTGTTGAACTGTTCAGTCCTAACATCACTTCTCAATCTTTCATACATCAATTATTGCAAAATTGTAAAAATATAACACCATTGGAAACCTTTATTCAACTTGTTGTCCCCCTTTTTTTTAGTCCTCTCATATAACCTCAGCCTATGAAAAGCTCCCCATAAAGCTATTATGTTTTTTACAGCCTTTATGAATGTATGTGTTGTACAATTATGTCAATATGACATAAAAGGACAAGCACACACAATTGGGAAACGCAGGAGACATGATGAAGAAGGGACATCACAGTAGGCATGACCTAAAGGAGGGGACACACGGGCAGCAGCCATAAACTGTATATGAAAAGGCAGCAGCAGGATATTATCAAGCAACATCTGACACTACGCTTAACACTGTGGGACAGGCAGCCATTTAAATGCAGTAATGTAACACCTTAATGAAACATACTTTGCCTGGGTCATATGTGCATGAAGCCTGTATAGCCATTGTCTTTGTAAATTGCAGTGTAATTTCAGATGTTGATCAGATCACAGAGGTTCTGTCAGGCCCAAGTAAGGCGTTCGAGGTACTGGTGTGCATGAACATTCACATGTTCCACACCCCATAGGAGGAAAATTCATATCTACAGATGGTTTGAGCTGTGTTGGAACAGACATCAGAAGCCAAAGTGGACACAGTATGATTTTTAGTCCAACATCTGAAATAGGCTGTAGACTTGGGGGATCATGAGGTAGATAGATCCTCCCTAACGACTGTGAACGACTGCTAACAAGAGGTTTATTCATTACTCTATTACAATCTCTTCAAATTATAACATTGATTAATCCAAAGAGTACACATAATTCTCAAATACTTAAAGTCCATCTAATCGCACTATCTGTGCAAAATATGAAAGTGTTGTTTAATCACAACAGTGAATTAGGGCTGTCATTGAAGCACAAGGCCGAACCGCCCAGATACTGTGTTCTGCTTGAGGTATCTACCTGTTAAAGGGAGTGGTGGGAATTGTTGGGTTTCTGGTAATAATATTCTAGACCTGCTCTAAATGAAAAGTGCAATGAGATTATCTTTGTTATGAATTGAGGCTAAATAAAGCTGATTAGATTGAGTACTTGTTACATCCAGAAGGTGACATGCAGCCCCAGCTGGTTTAACCCGAAAGAAGAAGAAGAAGATTTCAGCAGCACGTGTGCGATGTCACCTGACTGCTTCTTCTGAGTTCATTTTGGCGGACAAGTTGCTTTTGGTGAATGTGTTGTCGTTTTTGGAAGTCGTAGGAGGTAAGAACCTGTTTTTTGTATAATTTTCATACTGAGCATGATTGTATTTTGTGTTTGTGATAGAAGGCGTCCTGTATTTTTCGGGTGTATAATGTTCACAGTTAGGTTAACTCGCCCAGGGAGGTGGTTCTTGGACACGTGTTAGCTAGCTAACATTGCTGCATGACCCAGGTTGATCGGCTTTTATCCCGCCGAGCCTGCCAGTCCGTGAACACTTGAACCCTCTGCTGTCGATATCAACACTGTTTACAGGCGCTTCAACACCTCAGCCTGTGCTGTGGTGTCCATAGAGAAAGCTGTTTTTACATGTCTGTGTTTAAGCTCTTAAGCTTTAGCTCTTCATAGGCTGCTTTTGTAACACAGTGTCTTTGGTTTGGAGAGATTAGTTTTACTCTTGTGTTCCTGTCTATACTTTCAGATATCAGGCTCATTTTACTGGTCATAATAAATGCAAAAGTTACGTTTTTGCATGAGTAAAAACAAGTAATTTTAATTGTTAACAGATATTTTGGACTTGTATTCAGCCAATGGTTTGAAGTGTTTATGAACTTCAGTGAGTCACTATTAGCCTAAAGCTGTCTGTTATTATAAATGGGGGGGAAAGGGCATCACAGAGTAGACATGGCGTTCAGGTCAGTGTGATGCTACAAATTACGGAAGTGTGCCTCTTTCTTTCTCATGTTGTGCTTGTGCAAAATGTTTCTAGGTGGAATTTCTGAGGATTAACTTGCTGCTGCTCTCCTGTCTCAAAAATCTCCTCAGTGTGATGAAGAAGAAAGGAGGCTCTGCAGGAAGGGAACCCAGTAGATTTGGTCACATCTTCAGACCCATAATAAAGTCATAACGTTTTTTTGTGACAAAGATTCATCACAGAAAAATTTGAGTTGTAGTTATTATTGGAAACCCAAACAGCCATGACGTGTATGTTCTTTAGAAGTGTGTGTAAACTTTTGACCAACTGTAACCTTGTTACTTTCTTACGATTTGCAGAAAATCAGTTTGTTTTTTGTCTCTTTTGGGAAATCTAATATATACACTCACAATGCATTTGATCAGGAATATCTGCTGTCTAATGCAATCAAAAATGACACCTGCCTGTATAGTGCATTATATTGAGAAGTTTTCCTAATATTGTCTACCCCATTGACATAGATGAGGGGGGCAGAATAATAGAAACACTTGTTAAATATCTAAGCTTAGTAAAAGTAAAGATTTATGGCAGAGCTGTTGGTTTGCAGTAGACTGCACGCCCTCCTGCTTACAACTTTCCCACAGTCTCTTAACTAATCCACTGCTGTTGAAAGTCTGGTAATGGTTCCAACTTGGAACCGGTTCTTGATACCAACCCTATTTCAGATATGATGGTTCCTGAACTTTTAAGGGCTTTTTAGGTGACCAGAAGGATTTTAAATTATATTCTGGATTTTACAGGGAGCCAGTGCAGAGAAGCTGGTGTGAGAAATATGTGATCTCTTTTAGCCAAAAATATCACATTAGAACACCTTAAAACTACTAAATATTTATCAATAAATAACCAGAAATAACAAAGTTATTCAATTTATATATTTATTTATTTATTTTGAGGTCAATAATCAAGAATCCACATATTATATATGTTTTCTGGTGTGGGAGGAAACTGGAGCACGTGGAGTAACCCCATGGTGGAGAGGGGAGAACATCAAACATCACAGGGCACATAGAAACAAACATCATTCATACACATTCACACTGAAGCACAATTTAGAGTCACCAATTAACCTGCATGTCTTTGGACGGTGGGGGGAAGCCGGAGCACCCGGGGAGAACCGGGACAGACACGGGGAGAACATGTAAACTCCACACAGAGACGAAGACGACCGAGGTTCAAACCCTGGACCTTCTTGCTCTGAGGTGACAGTGCTAACCACTGCACCACTGTGCCGCCCCTCTTTTAGGTAGTGGTTTGGTATTTTTAGGTCAATTCAGAATCTACATAATAAATGTTTTATAATGGGGGGGAACCGGGACAGACACGGGGAGAACATATGAACTCCACACAGAGACGCAGACGACCGAGGTTCAGACCCTGGACCATGGATGACCAAGGTTTGAACCCTGGACCTTCTTGCTCTGAGGTGACAGTGCTAACCACTGCACCACTGTGCCGCCCCTCTTTCAGTTAGTGGTTTGGTATTTTTAGGTCAATCTGAGGAGAAAATCCAACTCCACACAAAAAGAGTCAGGCCCAGGAATCGAACCAGCACCTTTTTGCGTGAGGCTGAAGTTTCATCCATATGCTCGACCGGAGCCAATCCCAGCTGACATTAGGTGGGAGGCCGGGTACAACCTGGATAGGTCGCCAGTCCAACACGGGGCACATAGAAACAAACAACCACTCACACACATTCACACAGGGGAGAAAATCCAACTCCACACAAAAAGAGTCAGGCCCAGGAATCGAACCAGCACCTTTTTGTGTGAGGCTGAAGTTAAATCCATACCCTTTTTTCCCTTGGAAAGCAAAAACAATGTATGTCAGCTTTCCATATAGCTCTTCAGGAGCTGTTCAGGTCTTGAATTTCTTGCTGCAGGGCTGCGTGCTCTCGGTCGACCTTCTGTTTCTCAGCCTGCATTGCGTTGTGTGCACTTTCTAAAGCTCTTTCACTGTTCAGCTTTTCTTTGAGCTTCTGGACCTCTCGTCGAAGGACATCGTTTCTTCGACTCGTGGCATCTTTTTCCGTCGTCAGCGATTTGTACGTGACCTCCAGTATTTTTTCACTTTGCAGTCTGCCGTACAGCTCTTCAACCTCCAGCTGTAATGTGTGGTTTTGTTGGCTCAAGGCTTCATTTTCTTCTTTCATGACAATATTCCTGCCTACCCAAGCTTGTTCCTTTACAACCCTTTTCTCCACCTCCTGCATTTCTTTTTTCAGGATTTTATTTCTGTGCGTTAGATTATTTTTCTCTCCTTTCAGTGAGGCATAAATTGCCTTTGTAACAGTTTTGTTTTCTATCTCCTCACTGCGCTGTTGGATTTCTTGATGGAGTTCATCGTTGCGTTGTCTTAAGGCTCCTATCTCCTCTCTCAGCGAACCACACTTGCCTTCATAGTCTTTCATACCTTGAAACTTTGAGTGGAGCGTTGCAAGTGTTTTAAGAAGCTCACTTTGTTCTGCAGAGACAACTTTTTCTTCTGATTTCAGGCCTTTATATTGGTCTTTCATGGCTTTTCTGTTCTGGATCCTACTGGTAAGGTCCTCAACGTCTTTTTGGAGGTCTTCATTTTCTCTGCACATAAATTCCATCTTGTGCAACTTCTCCCTACACATGACACCGAAAATCTTTTGATCTTCATAGTCTTTGTAGAGCTTCTGGCGTTGTTCTTTCAGTGCTGCGTTCTCCTGGCTGATGGTCACTTTGGAAACTTCCATTTGCTCATTCATTTCCTGCAGAGCCTTTTCATATCGGAGATCTTTGGATATCTCCCGAATCTCTTGGCTCAGGTCGTCATTTTGCTGGCGTATCGCCTCTTTCTCTGCTTTCAGTGTGTCAAACGTTTCATCCAGAGCAGTTAAATTTCTACGCTTTTCTTTGAGCTCCTGGATTTCCTCTTGTATCCTGTAATTTTGGAGCCTCATGGCCTCTGTTTCCTCCTTAATGACAAAATACAATTCCCGCAAAGATGGTTCATTTTGGGGTCTTCTCCTGAGCTCCTGAATTTCTTGTCTCAGCGCCTCGTTTTGCTGGCTTGCTGCTAAGAGCTCTGCTTTGACTTTATCATAGTTCTCCTCAAAGGATTTATCATGTGTCCTATTGTGTAGCTCCTGACGTTCTTTTTCCAAAGCTTCATTGGCGTTCAAAATGGCTTCTTTCGCCACTTGCATAGCGTTGGACATTGCATCCAGTTCTTTTTGAGTTTGGCTATTTGCATGGAGCTCTGCTAGTTGTTTTTTCTCATATTGTCTAGCGTACCTTTGCAGTTGGAGATCTATTCCTTCCAGTTGTTGAATGACTGCATCCAAGTCCACTTTGATTTCTTGGTCAGATATATCTGCTTGTTCTTGGCTGACGTCCATGCCCAGATTGTCAAAGAACATCTCAGAAGGGACCGTTTCCTCGATGCAGCTCATTTTTCTTCTCTCTTAACGACTGTGTTAACCAGCGCTTGTTTTTCTGGGCTCTGTACACGAAGCTCAGTTGTAAATGATTGATTAGACTGAGGAGCTGAATGTGTTTCAGAATGTGTTCACTCTGTGGCTTTGATCTTCAGAATGTGGAAGCAGGCAGTGACATCACTTTCCCCTCAGAACTTTGTTTATGACATCATCAACATTATGACATCGTCTAAATTCTGATCGATAAAGAACAGGAAGTGAGGGAACCTTTCACACAGCATGGTGTTTATGAAATGGTAAAAAGACAGAGGATCAAGTCTGAATCTACACATTTTTATACACAGAACACATCTTCCTGTTGTCTACGTCTTCTCGCATAAGAAGCAATCAGTCGCTCCCAAAATCTGGCAGCAATACTGTTTTTCCACTGTTTGAACACAAACATCCTCTCGCATTAACCCTTTCTGGTCTGCCCTGTCCAAACCTGGGCGGTTATTTCAATTATTTCACATTAATTTAACATTGTGAGAAAACTATTATCAGAGCTGTAATGGACATAAGTTTGTCTGCAGTTTCCTGACATTAGTGTTCCAGACGTATAAGCAGTATTAACAAGTGTTTGCAATTAACTGATGAAACATTATGTCAAACATTTGCATTAGGTAAAATGTCTGTTTCCCTGAGCCAGTTTGTCTCAAACACAAGGACACTCTTACTATATATGACTAATAGGTACAAAATGTTTTGAAATCCGTGCAGTAGATGGCTTCCCATGAACTAGCTTCAGTGGCTGCAATGTACTGCAAGAATTGTCCTTAACAAGACTTCTGTTTCTGGTTTAAAACAAGGTTACTCATAGGGATCCCTTCTATGATTGTGTCAGACACCTGGTATAACAATCTGAGCCTGTCGGTGGCAAAAAGAAGCACTTTTGCACACATAATTATGACGAGCGCCTTAAAGGAATACGTTGAAGCTACCTACTGCACAACACATGAATGCAGGTCTCAATTAGGCGCCTTTTCTGTTTTTTATTTAAGTTCTCTGGATGTATAAAGCGTCTTAAAGCCCACCAGGTCCACCGATCAAAACAATCAAAACCTTTTCATTAAATTTCATCCAAGTTGAAATAACTACAGTAATCTTCATCTTTTATTCGTTCTACGGTGTCTCTCTTTTGTGCAAAAGGAATTAAAGGCCGGTCCCATATAGACGCCTGTCCCAAATATAGAGTAAGTTCAGTGATTGATAATAAATACATTGTTCAAAAAACAAACAAACAGTTCAGTGATTGAAGCAAATAAAAGCCTAAGCTATAAAAAGTTGACACTGCGTTTACTTTTTTATATTTAACAAATTCACATTGTGACACATAATAAATACCTCAGACCCAAGTGTCGTTGTACTTACTATCCCAAAACACTGGTAAGATTGTTTATTTATTCCACTTTAGGAGTTAATGACTTGACGAAGCGATTCAACAAGGTTCTGTGAGAATCAGGACTGTAATCGCCTATATAACACTCACCTCCTCCAAGTCACATGTGTCGCCAGTTTCTTCAACTTCCTTCACTTTTTCTGTCTCCCTCTATCGACTCCAGTCCACAAGCGTCACCATGAGATCACGTGGTGAATTATTGTATGGTAAATCATATTGTTCATATTTGAACAGCACGGGTCTATGTGATTACATAGCAGTAGACAATAAAATAATAAAACTCCAATTACTCAAAAAATAAGTACAAATGACCATTTGATTGACCTTCATACCTACCTATAAAAGCCCCCAACCGTTACATTTAAATGATTTATTGATGAACAAAACAGAAAGATGTACAAGGCTTGGAGTTCCTGTATAGCCCTATTTGAAGTTGTTTTGAAGCTACGATAGGGAAATCTGCCATAGCACCTGGGCACGACAGACCCCCAAAAGCTTCCAGTTATTTGAGAGAACATTGGCTGATCTGAGATATTTGAGATATGATTGATCCGTGGAAAGCCATAAGGCAGGGAGAGCACCTCCTTGCCCATCCATGTGCATACATGGAAGGCCCAAGGCAGAGAGCAGGAGTAAGGACCCAACGCCCACCCACTGTTGCAGAGCAAGCAGCGACAGCAGGCGGGCTATGGCAGCTTAAATGGACACCTTGTATGGAATTTGCCAATGAATGCTAAGAGATTAATCAGCTGAGCTGTCAGCTGATGTGCTGGGATTGTGAGCCGAGCTTAACTTCGTTGCCTGCCTGAACTAATTTAAGTAAAATTTTTACTCCATTTTAGTGAAGTATGATTATTCTTTACTTGATACAAGTTTGCTCATCTTGAAACAACCTAAATCCATAAATAATAATAAAACCAAATATTTAAAACCAGTCCTTATTCTAAGAATATACAGTGAGGAAAATAAGTATTTGAACACCCTGCTGTTTTGCAAGTTCTCCCACTTAGAAATCATGGAGGGGTCTGAAATTGTCATCGTAGGTGCATGTCCACTGTGAGAGACATAATCTAAAAAAATCTGCAGCTGTATCATACAAATAAATAGTTAAAAAATCATACATTGTGGGTCCGTGTATCTTTTGGTCATTTGATTTTCCTTTTAGAAACAGGTATTAAAAAACAAAAAACAAGTGGCTATTTGATTTTTGTTGTAATATACAAAAATTAAAATTAAAATACAAAGTATTTCTCTTTTTCAGTGTCAAAAATGAATAAGTGAAATATACAAAATAATTTGAGTTTCTTTTTCTTTTTTGAATAACAAAAAATAAAATCACCGGAAAACAGAAACAGAAAAAGGCTCGTTTGTTCGTATTCTAATACCGGATGTGGTCATTTCTGTGACAAGAGCGCCAAATTTGACAGGGTACCGGTGTTGTAGCCCAGAATAAAATGTCTTTAGAACATTACTCAGCTATGATTTTAGACATGGCAAAACAAGGCCAGTCATCCACAGAAATCTCAGCGCAGATATCACAAGTAAGTGGGGGAGCAAGAGGATGTTCCGCAAGAAACGTGAGGAGATTTTGCAATGAAAATGGATTTAGTTTGATGGGACTCCCCGACGCACATTTGGAGTTGGAGGTGGCAAAAGCTCTAACTGAGGTATGATCTTGCTTTATTTCCCTTTTGCTACAGGTTGTGTGTGTGTGAGAGAGAGAGAGCGTATGAGAACGAACATGCAGTAACATGCACACACCAGTATGTCCCGCATTTCTATGTCTTATCAAATTTGACTGGCATCTTTTATGCCCGTTTATTACGAATAGTAAATAAATCACAATAAATATCCTCAGCCTTCCACTATTAATAAATACTCACAGTCAACATAATCATCACAACACTGATACATTACAACAAAACGCAACCTGCACTGTCTAATTTCATGATATACATACATCAGCTGGTATGATTTTGGAAAGTGAAAATATGTTATTTTCTAGACTGGACCTACATATGGAAGAAGGATGATGAAGGGGTATCTCGCCATGAAAGGAGTGCATGCTGCAGAGAGTTGGATCAGTGCTCAGGACAATGCATCAGCCTTACCATGAAGCAAGACGTCAGGTCTGTTACTGTCTCATCTCTAATATTTTACACAATCAAACATGTGGAATTTATGAGTAAATATGAGCTGTGTGTGTGTGTTGTTGTTTGTTTAGCTGTAGTTACTTGTATAAGATTAAAAACGTACTGATATTTATAGTAAGCCTGTAATCAAAACAAATTATTTTCATTTTTTTGACAGATCTTCAACTGATGTAGTGTATATAGGAGTAATAGGATTTTATTTTTTGTGAAATAGTTACATCGTTTTCCTATCTCTCTTAGGGTGCCCGCAATCTCAACCCCATACCATATCGAGCTGATTACATGGGTCACAAGGTTCATTTGGACCAAAATGAAAAACTGGCTGTTTGGGGTCACCCATGTTTTAGCCATTGATGGCTTCAGCAAAAAGGTTGTTGCTCATTCTACAATGCCTATAAAAAACAACCTTACCATCTATGAAGATGTTTTCAGGTAATAGCCAATGTATTATTGTGGACACTAAAGGAATTGTATACACATGACTAGCATCAGAGAATATGTAACTATATAATAACTTTTGAACGTCTAATTATAAAGCATATTATATTGCAAATAAACAGTTAAGTTGGCAGTTTTGCACAAAATAAAACTGACTTTTTCATCCAGTTTCTGCAGTACTTGCCTATGGTATGTGGGACCAGGTGCGAGTAGATCATGGCAAGGAGTTTTATTTGACGCTCTTCATGCAGGAGTTGCTGTCATCTCACCGCCATAATCAGGAGCGAAGGCCTTATTTACAGACTTCATCCACAAGGGTACAGGGTTCCATACTTTGTTTGGTTGCTTCAGCAATACACTTTTATTATTACCACTCTTATTCTACTTGCTTCAGCAGCAGTTTTCTTGCATACATGAGACAAATTGTCTTTACTATTTCTATGCTTTAGGGCAATTAAATATAAAATTAACCATCGCCAAGAACAGGTTTCTTTTTAAAATCGGGTTATAGCTTAACAATAAATAACTGCAGAAGCAAGCACACTGGACTTAATTCAACCTTTATATTCTCGTTATGTGATGAGCATTGTGATTTTTGTTTTCTATTTGGGAAAATGCTCCTTATGCAGAATTCCTGGTAAAACTATAAATTTACTAGCTCAGCGGTCAATGTGCATAATGACTGCTGAGTTGGTAAATTTACAGATTTACTGGGAATTCTGCATGACCATTTTCCCCGAATAGACTATATGTTTTATTTACCCACCAGAACAAACTGACTGATTACACATCTTTGTTGGAAATTCAGAATCATATAATTGAACGAATCTGGCCTGAAGTCAACAATCGTGTCAACTATCCACTGAAGACAGCACTTCTGCAGTTGGTGGATCAAGAGGAAATAGACATGAGTGACAGCCTTGTGAGATATTGTGTGTCCAACCTGACTGGCCGCTTGTGTGAGATTGGTCTTACAAGGCTGGTGGAGTCGTGGAATGCTCATCCCGAATCCCAGGTGAAATAAAACAGTGTTTCGAAGATTACAATAATTACAACAGGCATTCATCAGTTTCAAGACCAACAGTATGTTCTTTATTTTACAGGTAAAGGTGAGGTGTCCCAAAACAATCCCACAGGAGCTGTTGCCTCATTCAGCTGAAGCAGCAACCTTTACAGCCAACAGCTGGGATCTCACTGACCAGACATTCAACTTTTGGAGTTGATCCATTTTCAACTGAACAGGACAAGATTACAGTTGAGAACCAGTTTGCAGAGCAATATTCAGACATTTCAGACTTGTTCTCTAGAGCAGTAAACAATGACTTTGCTCCATACAAACAGGCATTGCTCTGTCTTATTTCCACAACTCAGCGCAATGTGTGAAAAGCCATTAGCTCTGTTTAACTTAGAGACTGTAAATTTGTAACAGGAACAATGAACATCGATATGGCATCATCCAGCCCAAACATGTAAATAAATTCACATCACTACTACAGCTCTGACCCACATTTTTGAACCTATAAAACAAACTCAAATACAACGTGGATTTTTTACCTATTTGTGGGTGTAAAAGTGCAAAATGTTACTCCTCTTCAAAAAGGGATCTCAGAACAGAAAATGCCTCTGACAGATTAATTTTATGCTGCTGCCTGAGTGTTCCCTCTACATTTTGCACAGAGGTCTCCTGCCACTGTTCCACACATGTTTTGCAGCCAATAATGCTCCGGCAACACTGTGTGAAGACTGTGAAGGCTCCTCAATGAATTCTAAAGGACAAAATGAGAAAAACTATTCATTCTGTGTGTTACTGTGTGTGTGTCCATACAACCTCAATGTGTTATTGATGTACTGGGTGACAATGTTTTCTTTTTACTCAGCCTAAAATGTCTTTGTTAATGTATCATTACACCATAGGCTGTTACACAAAGGTTCGCTTCAGTACATGTAATTGATTGTAGTGGATGAGACATAGGTGACCGGGGTTAGAGAACGTAATAATTTATGTGTATTTAGAAATTTCAATTTCTGGAACACACTACACAAAATGGATCCAAAATAAATGTTCATGTGGGACAATGACTATCTATTGTGTACTTACTCATACAAACAACACAGCAGAACCCTTGCTTGATGTTCTGTAGCTGGGAAGGAGTCTGGATCACTCTGTGAGTGGCAGCTACATTGGTGAGCTCTCTGATCGCTGAAGTGACATCTGGTAGGCTCTGTGATGCCAGCACAAGCTCTTCTATCTTCTCAGTGACCTCTCCA